CTTCTCTCTCTCTCTCTCTCTCTCTCTCCCCTTCGTTCAGACTTCCAATCACTCGCTCACCTCTTTCTCTATCCTACAGACATTCATTTCTGTTTTCAATTCTGTCTCAGTCTTTTCCCTAGAGGATTCGACCCACCCATCTTTTTGTGTCTTCCTGTTTCTGTGTCAACCAACCAACCAGCCATCAAACCAAAAAGAAAAAATACCGTGCAGTGCCTCGGTTCCAATTGATAGTTCATATTCCGTTGCGTTGGTTTGAAAGTTTGCTTGGCCGGCAACCCTATCCGGGGACTTTAAACTATTGGCTTGCCGTGTAACCAAAGCCCATAGTACTTATCCTTCCGTTCTCTGCATTTACTAGGTTATTGATAACCTATCCATCCAATCCTTGTTACTTTTTTTTTTTTTTTACTTTTCTCTTTGAACTCCTTGCTCCTTCTTTTCACCTTGTGATCCTTGAAGAAGAAAAATAGTCCTGTTTGGACAGAGACAAGTTGAGAGGCAATTCCGTCTACTTCAACTTTGACAAAACCGGTTCCACTGGTAGACTCCCGCGGGAACGTTGCCCCTCTCACGCCGCCGCATCACCACAACCACAACCCAAGGGATAAACCGATCGCTCCTTTGGTTCCCCTAGTTAAGGAGTTTCGATCTTGACTCTGTCGACTCTGAACCTTCGTGCGATGAGAGCATACGTTACACACGAGTTCTAATGTCAGTCGTCCTTATCGCGAACAGCTCCAGTCAACATTGAGCCTGTGTGTGTGTACTTGACTGCATCCTGTCACGTCGTACAAGCACCTTCCTATCCCTAAACTTATCCCCTTCCAATCGATCCTCGCCAGCTTGGATGCTTGGCTTCCCTTCTTATACTCCGCCTCCCTCGTAGTTCCTCATCGCTTGGGCAACCTACATTTCTTTCCCCTTCATACCATCGTGAATCATCGTTTCACTTGCTTCTTTCCTCCATTCAGTACGCATCATGGCAAATTCACAAGAGCGCCTGGATGCCCCAGATGGATCCGCATTGACCTGGATCTTTGACCACTGTCTTCGTTACCCTGGTTCTTACGAACTTCCATTACGCACTATGTATGCATTGAACTGCAACTCCACGAGACAGTCGCCACCCGCCAACTGTGCTCCCGAGACAGCTTTCTGCGAGCGCCCGTCCCACTCTCCAAAGTCTTCTGTATCGTCCCAGGATGCTCCTTTGGATCGTGCTGCCGATTTTAGGGCACTGCTCACCCACCAAATCTCTCGATTGCCGTCACAGCCATGCTCTCTGCCTCCCAGCTTTGTGACCTCCTTTCTGCGTCGCTGCTTCACTCCGGAGTTAGGTGACGTTGACTTTCCTCAGGCGTTGACCGGCCTTGATTATCTCAGGGATCTGGAGATTCGTCGAAGGAAGGAAGTGAAAGCGGCCTTGGACCGTCTGCAGGTCAAGCCGGACGATCTTAAGGAGAAAGAGGAGCTTGGAAAGAAATGGCCCAATGTCTTGACCTGGATCGAGTCCAACTGCGCCAAGAACCGCACGGCCGAGGCACTCTATACCCAGGTCTACATTGGCCTACGCCGCTGGGTAAGTCACGATGTCTCATCTCTTCTTCAATATATGACTAATGATTTCCTTCAGACCCTGATCAATGAGATGCTGCTCGAACCACACAACAAGGCCAACTGTATCGCCATGCTTAACACTCTGTTTCCACCTGTCACAGATGCAACCGTCAACCCTACACCACAGTTGACTGCCAAGATTCTCAAGTCTCAACGGGATGGCTTCTTCCGGTACATCGCAGCCTTCGATAAGCCCAATGGAAAAGAGATCCTCCAAAGGGTCATCACTCAGGGCGCACCGGAGGGAGAGGAGACGGGATGGCCACTGGTGCGAGACGCTTTGGATAGGTACCTTCGGCTTACCAACGAAATTATTGACGACTGTGCCATGGTCAATGACCAGACCAGTCTCGAGGTGACTGTGGAAGCGGAGTCTCAGCCCCGTCGGAAGGTGGATTCAGGCATCAGCTTTGGCTCGGCGGATAAGTTCCACGCCCCATCTGTTCACAGCAGCAATGGCTCCGACGACATCATGGACAAACCCTTGCCACCGGCCCCGAAAGAATCTCATCAGAAGACTGGTGGATCCGCATTAGAGCGGCTAACACGAGAATTGCGAAAACTCAGCGACGCCGGAAAGGTCAAGAGCCTCAAGAAAATGAAGTCCTCGAGCGCTCTCGCTATGCGACCAGATAATATTCCCAGCCACACTCCTGATAACTCATCTTTCTTCGAGATCGATGACCAGAAACGAAAGCGTCTGATTTGGGAGGCTACCAGCCGCAAAAGGACTCATAGTAAACAGCCCAGCAATGGCTCACATTGACTGTGACTCGATTTGATTCGATTGATTGTACACTTATGACAGCATTTTTTTCTCCACCAAAAAAGCAGGAAAGACAAAAGCTGATGTTCTACCACCGGGATTGTAATGGAGTTAGCCGTTTGATTTGTCTTTTTGTGAATTTTTTGTTATTTCGGGTTGGGGGCGCAATTGCCAGCTACAGGCGTCTTTTGTTTGGTCTTTCAGCATACAAGAGGATTTGGCGTGTTATTTTCGCATTGGGAGTTTTGAGCATGGTGGATCATATCTCCCAAGTTGAACCGGAGAACCTCAACAACAGCAAAAGCTAAAATGGCTAAAGAAAAGCCTTGATGAATGTCACTAAATGATGATGATTTTACGAATTGATATCTGTTGTTAGTTAATTTTAGAATCTGTGTAACTCATGTCTTCATTTGCGTAGATAATCTGTGAACCCGTGCATAAGAGTGGGTACAAGTAGTACCAGTCTCCATATTGTAATTAACATGCGGCAGCAAGGTCTAAAGGTGCGTATACGACCAAAGCTTCCTAAGCTATAAGGAAGAGCCCATCTTTTTCATGAGGGCGTCCCCACGTATACAATGGTCAAAAAGCCAGTTATAAAAGAGGGTCGGATGTGGTAAAGTTCAGAATCGAGAAGCCACTTGTCTTCGCAGCATTCAAAACTTCAAGTGCCATGTCTGGAATCTTTGGGGAATCCACATATACAAAAAGGCTCAGATCATTTAAATGGGGCAGCTTTGTGGCCCGAGCATCAGAAAGGCCCTCAATCAGATGAGAGATACACTTCAGATGATCATCATCGAATGACTCAAGATATAAGTTGAACTTTTCAATGGATGCTGGTAACATATCGATCAGTTTGGGCCAGGCTGGATCTCCATGCCACTCAGTTTCATCCCATTCTAAAGCTCTCGTCGACGGATCATATGCGGGACCGCAAAGCATATCGACGCCCAATTCAAGCACTGCCAATACCTGGAAACGGGTCATATCCACCAGTGTGGACCCTCTATTACACCACTTTGTGAGATTTGTTACCGACAATTCCTTGAGCGTCTTTCCACAGACATCTTGCACCGTATCCAAAAATGCACCAACGTTCCAGTTATAACCGCAGCCATGCCACTTGGTTTCATGAGAAAACTCAAAGATCTCCAGATTCGGGATACGCGAGAGTAGTTGTGATAGCTCCTCTACGCCAGCGACAGAGGATTCTATACCCAATTTCCGCAAGTTTGCGCTGTAGCATTCCACCAGTGGGTCGAAGGCATATCCAGTGTACCCGTCATCCTTGAAGACACAGCTACCCAGGTTGACTTCGGACACAGAATTGATCGTTAGGAATGGTACGAATGATGTCAATTGTAACTTCTCTTCATAACCCATGTCCTGAGAGGGCTGCACGATGGAGAGCATAGACAACGGCGTATCGGGAAATTCCTTCTGATGATTGGCCCGGTATGTAATCAGACTGAGGACCGACCACAGACGTTCATTACCAGGACACACTTCATCCCAGCGTGGATGTAAGGCTATCTCTCGCACTTGTGGTAGCAAGGTCAGGAGAAAGAGATCTGCATCTATTATGGACTCTCGGATTCCTCCAATCCAATCATCGGGATTCCCCTCAACGGCTTCAATGAAGGGCGACGTAAAAACCAAGTCCCTTAAAGCTCTAGGTACCTCGGTTTCCAAGGAATCGATCACCTCTTCATCGTCCTCGTTATCTCCATGCTCCCTAAGGTTAATTGAATGTATATATTGCGCCACAGAGGGATCCAGTGCGATCTGTTCCAATAGCTCCCGTGTGGTCACAATCTTGATACCGGTTTCTTGGGTAATTTCATCCCAACGGCCGCCTTGGTCTGGCTCCTCTGCTCCTTCTAGATTCTCATCGACTTTTGTTGAAAATTTAAAATTTCGAAACCGTTTCCGTCGAGTGGCATATTGTGCCCGGAAAGGAGCGCTGGCAGCAAACAGGGCTTTACAAGAGAGGGCAGTGGCTTCAAAATCCACTGGGATCGTTTCTTGTACGATCTGAATCAAAAGTTCTAAGGGAAGGTCAAGCAACGACGGCATGATGGTTTTTTGGGGGGAGATGGGAAGAGGACGGATAATGGCAATAATGATGAATTGTTAAGGAACCCAAAATTATTTTTTAACGCAAATTGGGTTGGGTGGTTCATATAGTGGTAGAACTGCAGGGTCACAATTGCCTGTGATGTGAAGTTTTTTTTTGCACGCTTTCCCGCTTCCCCAGGCTGCTCACATCTATCTGGAGAAGGTTGCCTAGTAGTATGTTGTAACCTCGGTCACCACTTGCCTATCGCATACTAGTATCATCGTCTGCCGCACGATTGCGCCGCTGCACATCAACATCAAAATCAACCATATACAACTGGAATATAATACAGATGATTGAAGGGTAATAAAATTCCTGTTCTAAGGATTTAGGTCAGGTTCTTTGAGGACCTCATTCAACTCTAAAAATCACAAGAGGAGATTCTTGTAATTATTGAATACATGGTCAAACTTCACAGGCAATTCGGAGTGTGTATCAGCTGAAACTCTATAGAACAAAGACAAGAAGAATAAACTCCGAGACTTTATGATGGCTTATACCCTCAATTGATTAAGGGGGTGAGCTTGGCTCTCAGTACGAGTTTTAGTTAACCAGTATATTCAAGCTAGTCAATGTAGTAGATGAGTGATCATAATAAAATACCCCGCCTAGCCCTATGCTCCGTTATCAATCAACTGAGCAAAAAAGCGGCCTTGAACTAGTCCTGTTCCGGACTGGAAAATTGCATGATTGACTTTGGAACAAGTTTCCGGTGAAGAATCGTTCGCTAGCTCGCTACATGCCCTACTGCTATCAGGGACCCGTCACTCGCGTCGAGAGCTGTCACATTGGTGCTGATCCATGGATGTGACTAGCCAATAAGGGCCCGGAAAAGAAGACACGGAAGTTCTGCGCAAGTGGCCGCTGCGCCTCCCGTACAAGCTCTCATCAAGGCGCCGAAGTGGCCAGAACGCAGGAGAGATGATCATTCATTGTTTCACTCCTTTCTAGACGGTTAGTCGGGGATCAATCTGCATCATCCGACATCCCCTCCATGACATCTTGAAATATCGTTGCATGAGATCTCATCCTCTGTTGCATCTCTCAAAGATTGCCTGCCACCTTCGCCCCCTATGCTTACTTGGCTTTAACTTGAGACTATAATTAGACTTGCTCAGTTTGGGCCCAGATAACCCGCTATCAATCCATTTTCTGTATACACGAATGTGTGGAAGGCAGCAGCAGACATGATATCCGGCATTGGCCCTGTCGCATCATGGCGACTTTCTGTAATTGTCGCTGCTGTGCTGGCCTGCCTAGTACACGCAAGCCCATCAGTCAATGTTGCTTTACAAGCTTCATTTGACTCGGCACCGTATCTCATAGAACTTCTGTAAGCAACCGTCCCTCGTGTCTTCCTTTTTTTCTCCGGTTACTCTAGCCAATGCAGTGACTTATACGTTATAGAGAAACTGCCGCGGAAGAAAACGCAACTGCCTATTTCCCACTGCTGGACCGCATTGCCGATGGAGCCTTCGATGATGTTGTGACCGACAATGAAGTATATGATCGTTTTCTACAGGTTGTACACGAGGATGGCCACCTAAAAACTTCCGAAAGCCTTTCGTCGTTTAAGCTCTCCTTGGCAATTCGCTCGACGAGCCCCCGAATCGCCGCCCACTATCAATACTATAATGCTTCCGTACAACATTCTTTGATGGCAGCGCAGGACGCAGCTTGTCCGGTATGGGTACACTCGGATGGCAAACAGTACTGCTCCTCCACCATGGAGCGTGCTCAGCAGGATCTTTCCGGAGATTTGTGGGTAGCACCTTACCGAGGATGAGAAGCCCGACGACAAACTAACCTCTTGCTTTTTGCAGAGACCTGCGAGAACTCCAGTTTGATAGAGTCTTAGGCGATACGTCGTTGCCTCCGGCCATCTTGTACGCGGATGTGGCATCTCCAATGTTCAAGGAGTTCCACCAGACGCTGAGTGCATTGGTAAAGGAAGGACAGATTTCGTACCGAGTACGCTATCGGCCACCTCAGCACTGGAGCCCTCGGCCTCTTTATGTATCCGGCTATGGTGTTGAGCTTGCGTTAAAGCGAACCGACTATATTGTGATCGACGACCGAGATGCTGGACAGAAAGAACCCAGCAATGGGGAGGCCAACAAGGTAGGTGATATAGAAGGGGACTCCCCAGATGATCTTCGGCCGCTATCCTCGTCTGAAGTATCACGGCTAGGTGTGAACACTGTCAGCTACGTAATGGACAGCGATAATCCTCTGGATACACTTGTGAAGGTCTCGCAGGATTTCCCCAAATACTCCGCCAAAATAGCAGCTCATAATGCCACTACCAAGCTTTTGCAAGACATCCGCTCTAGTCGACTAGGAATGCTTCCATCTGGAGTTAACGTTATGTGGATTAACGGGGTCCAAATGGATGCTCGGAAGATTGATGCATACTCTCTCTTGGACCATCTACGCCGTGAAAGAAGATTAATAGAGAAATTCAGAGATCTGGGAATCTCCGCACAGGAGGCTGTCGATCTCCTGTCTCACAAGCTTCTTGGAGAGTCTTTGGAACAGGATGCACCTCAGCGTTACAATTACCGGGATGAAATTGAAGGTGGTGGGGTCCTCATATGGCTGAACGACCTTGAAAAGGATGCCAAGTATGACTCGTGGCCAGGCGAATTAGGGGCAGTAAGCGGATCCATCTGATGGGTTACTTTTGGTATTCAGGCTGATCTTTGCTAGTTCCTGCGGCCTACATTCCCTGGTCAACTTCCGCCAGTCCGCCGCGATGCGCACAACATCGTTGTCCCAGTAGACTTGACTGATGCTGAAGATATGAACTTTGTAGTCAAGACAATCCAGGTGTTTGTAAAGAGGAAGATACCTGTGAGGTTTGGCTTAGTTCCTA